ATCACTCACTAGTGAAGGTATTTCAACATCAGGGAAATGAAGTGACCCCTTGATTTCCTAGTGCGCCTCTCCTCACCTCTTCATGGCTGATAACTGAGATCATAGAGAGTTCATGGAAAGGCCACAACTTCTCTTTCTGGTTCTGTTTCCACAACTTCTTCTGACCCACACATTCAAATGCATGTCTGTCTTGGTGAGGGTTATCCCAGTGATTAATGCGTGATGCAGACATAGCCCTGGTTGTCTTAATTTCTACAGCGTCGGAAGACACTTCTCGCTGGCAAGCTTGCATTTGTCGTTGGGATACCATTAAGGGAAACCATTAAGAACAGTGCTGGGAGGGCAGAGTGATGAGTGTCCAGCACTGCTCCCATCAACCACCGACCGGCAGTAGTTAGGAATACGATGAAAGAATTTCCAACTAGAAAGGATGACCAAAAACAAAGTAAAAATTAGAGCCCCAACAAGATTAATCACTTTCTGAAATTTTACAGATTGCTTGCTGACTATCCAGGGAGCATACAGAGATGGAGGACCCTTGCTAGTGTGTATTAGATTTGTCCTGATAGACTCCATCACTAGGAAACAGCATTGCACTGTCCCTGATAGACACTGAGCCTGTGTGATACTATTAGATAAATCAGCTTTTTATATTGCTTCTTGTCTTTAATGAGGCCTGATTCTAAGATTCCCCAAAAGGCCTCAAAGAGACTAAGATAACCCAGGAACTGGTTTTGTTTTTCTAAAACATCTTTTCCAGGAATGATCAGGCAAGAATACATGGAACGAAAGGACAGGCTTGCATTGCACCTTCTGAATTGTCCATTGTTCCTTTTGTAATGATGTATTTTAAAAAAAAAAAAGTTGGGAAACGGTTTGGACATGGAGATGAAGTTCCTTTAAGGACAAGATTCTTCTGATCTTGAGAGTTGTTTATACACCAGTATAAACAACTGTATATATACTATACATCAAGGGTAGTATGAAATCTATGAATTGTTAGGGTCTTTTGTTCCTGAAGAGTGAAATGTCTGAAAAATGTTTTGCACTTGCCTTGGTGAGAATGCTACTATTTTAACTGTTTCAGTTCATGGCTACCATCACGGCACCATTCTAAAAGTAATTTCTCCATGAAACCATACAATGTGCCTTTCACTCTTTGTTCATCTCCACAGAATAAAATAACAGATGGAACGGTCTAGTCAGCTGCTCGGCTTCATGGGAGAGTACTTCACTGGCTCTCAGGAGAATTCATGTTTGAACTCTCCACACAAAACATCAAGTTTCCAACAATCTGGGCTTGCAAGGGTTCCCTAGAGACTAATATCAAACATTCCACCACAATTCTCTGTTGCTCGTTTTAGATTATTTTTGATTGATGCCCCAAAGTTATGGCTTTGGTTATTTTAAGATGGTTGAGATGCTTTTTTCTTTTTCGGTAGCATTTTGAGGGGAGGAAAAAAAAATAGCTACTCCTTCAAAATGTGAAGCAGTTCTACTTATAGGGTCTCCATCAAGCGAAGCAACCTGCCTTTGACTTACCATGAGTTTTCTGTTTTTACATGTACTTCGGGTATGATCATAGGCAGCCAGTAGGAGTCTCATTTTGTAGTTAAAAAAAATGGGGGTCAGAAAGACCAAATGACTTCTGTAACAACACATTAAAAGTTTGCACTACAGTGAGTGATTTGCAAGCCAGCATTCCTCGTATGTCTTGGTTACAAGGGGAAAAAAAATCAAATAAAAAACTGCAGATAGGTTTGCCCATTCTCAGAACCAGAGAAAAACATGAAAGAAAACCTAAAGCGAGAACTTACTTACCAGTTTTTCTAACTTTTTCATGGGCTTTTAGTGTGTGTGTGTGTGTGTGTGTGTGTGTGTGTGTGTGTATACACATGTGTATGATATGTGTTTGTACTGACAAGCCAAAAGTACATGAAGATGTCAGAGGACAAGTTTGTGGAGGCTTTTCTGTCCTCCTGCCTTTATGTGGGTCCGGGGATCAGACTCAGGTCATAAACTTTGCATGGCCTTTCACTGCTGAGGCCCCTGCACAGACCTAAATAAAGTACATATATGTGAATTGTTCTGCTTAAGAGCACGTTTGTTTCTCTGCCCTAGTGAGGATAAATTTGAAAGGTTTACTTTTCTCACGAATCACATATAACTCTCCTAAATCTTGCCAAATGAAGCAGCTCATCAACACTGACAACACTTGTACTGGACCTGGTAGCATTAACCTTGCTATTCTGGCCTACTCATGGAGTCTCCAAGGTCAGCTGTGCAGGCCTCATGACAGAGAACTAAAATGTAACTATGCGGAAAATTTCTCACTGGAGCTCATCTGTGTCCCTAAGTTGAGGGAAAAAAGTCTTTTAAATGTAATAATGTGCTTCTGCTGTTTTATTAAAATAACTTTATCAGTCATTGTCCAAAGCCATTAGCCACCCTTGTAGGGGCAGCGGAAGAACCATCCCTGCCCTATCAGACCTTGAGGGCTCGGCCTTCTATTCTCTAGTCTTGGTTGTTGAGCCTGTGCTTTACCTGGTGCACACATCACTATATGAATCAGTACAACATCAGATAGAATCCTCTTTACATTTTTGCCTTTCTCACTACTTGTCCTAGACTCCAGCTTTTTAGTCAGCTGCAATATAGCTGGTGAGACCCTACAATGCCTTCTGACATGTACAGATGAAGAGAAAGGCTTATCCCAGGGAGAGACACTGGAAAAAAAGAAATGTGTGGTGAATAGGAGTGTAACTATGAACACAGGAGACATTTCTGTCCTGAGAGAATAAAACACTTCACACAGAGTGGAATTTTAACTGAACCACGATCAGGGCAGCAAACCATCAGGTTGGACGAATCAAGGACTGCTATACATACTTTGTTTTACTTTTTCATCAGAGACACAGGAGGGAAGCGCATCCCAGAGAGTCATGTACAGAAGTTCAAAGGCTTGAGGACATAGTGTATCTGGAGAGGAGGGAATCATGGGAGGTAGATAGAAAGGGTGAGAGATCATAAGAAAATGGCATACTGTAGTCAAGGATGTCTATGCTGTGCGAGTTTCCACTTTATGATAAAGAAAATCTGTGAAAATAAAATATAACGCAGGGAAGAAGATCTGAATCTGAGCCACCTTCTTTGGGCATTGTGGAAGACATTCTTGAGCTCTCGGGGAAAACTGCTCTTTCCAGCAGAGAGAGAACACATGTGCAAACTGTTTGGCTTTATTTGGGAGAGTACAGTCTGAAAGGAGGCAGAGAAAATATGAGAGCACCTGAAACATGTGCCTCAGCAAGCACAGTGTGTCCTTAATTACGCAGTGTAGATGGTTTCTGCGCTTTGCAGGGAGTAGTGCACGCTGCCCCCTGATCAGTGCGGCCTCAGCATGCTCTTGGCTGTTCATTAACACCTGCCTGCCCTCCCAGCAGGTTTTCAAAATTAAAACGCTAAATGAGAAAAGGACAAGTCAATCAAATGAAGGACAATTTAAATTCACGGTCTTCGTCTAGTCTCCTTCCCCAAGTTTCATACACAAAGTACACTTCAGAGGTCAGAAATTTTTACTAACGTTTTCCAAGAACATTGTAATATTGTTTACATTGTTCTTTTTTGAGTCATGTGTATTCCTAAATAAACGAATCCATGAAAGACCTTAGTGGGCAACTAGAAAAGTTCAGCCACAGCCCCAGAAACCATTCTGAGAAAAGAAAAAAAAGAAAAAAACAAAAAGAAATGAAAATTAAGCCAGAAATCCTAGCAGAATCTAAGAAGTGCATATGTTTGCATCTATACACAAGTAAGTTATGAGCAACGTATGGACCATGCGTTAGAGAAAAAAGCCTTCCTATATACCATTTGCTGTGCGTTATCTATGTAAGGCATGCAATCACTATGATTATTTTAAACAGCATTACTCCCTCCTTACCTTCCACATGGTAAATGTGAATCTATAATCAAATCAATGGGGTTAACTTCTAATTGAGTTTCTAATAAAGGATATATGATAATTCAATGCTGTCAGCGAGAACAAATGGAATACTATTCCTTAAAAACATAACTGCACAGTGCTATTGGTAAAATCCAAAGGTTCAAATTGATTTCAACTCCACCACAAAAAGGTAAAAGCTTTCTTGCTTTATAATCTTGTATCTCTGATTTTAAAAAGGAGCACACATGTATATACATAATAGTCCTCGGTTTGTAGGACACTGCATTAGTTAACATTTTACATATTGGAATTAAGTTCTTTGCACAGTTCTTGTGTACCTCAGTATTAAGAGATTAGAGGGGGCTTCTACAGAGAAGAGAGAGGAGGTATGGTAAAGAGAGCAGAGGAGAAGGAACGCGGAGACGGGAGGAGAGAGCATCTTGTTTCTCTTCCTGTCTTGGCATCTACAACTATCCTTTCAGTAGTTGATTCCTGTGGTCGTCAACAAACTTCTCCCCATCTTCTCTGTTCTCATGACACCACCTGAGAGCCAAGAGCATACAAAGCCCTTCCCAAGTTATATTCCGTTCATCTAGATCATTGCCACTGCTGATATATAGAGTAGACAGAAAGCTTAGAATTCCTATTTCTAAGGAGGAAGAGAAATCTGCTGTTTTAAAGAAAGATAAAGATTACATGTACAGAAAGGAATATAATATGTGTAGAAAATACAAAAATAACAAATCAGCTTTAAGAAGTAGAATTCATTGTTTATTCAAAGTATTTTCTCTAACTTCTCTATCCTCTTTCAATATCAAACGTTAAATTTAAACTGAACTCTGATGCTATATATTTATCGCCACCACACTCTTAAAAATTGTTTCATCAAATTGTGTGTGCATGCATGCATTGGTGCTTGTGAGTGTGTACATGCATGTGTGTGTGTGCATGTATGCATGCATGTGTGTGTGTGTGTTTCCTGATGACTGCATTTGACTAGTTGAAACTTATGTGAGTGACACATTATTTATGGAATCTTTGCTACTTGCCTGTTTTACAGAATGAAAGTTTGGTTGGGGAGGATATCTGGCCTCATCTGATTTTACTCCCATATGGTAAGATGGCATAGAAACATATATTTATTTATTTGTCCTTTTGTCCTTCATGAACACTCAGTCTGTGTTTTGATATATGGATAGTATATTGTACTGAGCATACATATATAATTGTTATTATTTATCTATTGGTATAGTAGAGCTTGCTGAACTCTTTCAGTAGCTGTGAATTAAACTGAGAATGTTTCCAAGTAGTACTCTTGGCTCTCCTCTAATACATTTTTGGGGTCTGTCTTCAGCTGGCCACCTTTCCTCCATGATGAGTTTGTAGGACTCCTTTATATATACATCCAGATGTGAACTCTCACTGGATAAGCAGCTTGCAAGACCTTCTTTGATTCTGTGATTTATTTTCACTAATTTGACTTCTTGTCAAACAGCAGTTCTTACATGTAACTTAACAAGGATTCCATGAATGTACTTTTTCCATTTTAAGAGCATTTTCTTATTGACATGTTCATAAGACAGTCTGTATCATCACAGTTTCTGTTTCTCCTACCTTATAGTCTGGCAGAAATGATATTTTCACATGAAGGGAAATAGTATTCATCTAATTTTCACCTAATTTCCTGTTTTTTTTTTTACTTGCCCCAGGGCCTTTTCTGAAAAAAAAAAACATTTTGTTCCTTGTCACTCATCTTAGTTAATAGACCTTTCCAACTTGTTGTAACACTGTTTCTGGTCACATGTCCGTATGTGCAGGGTTAATTTCTGAGGCCCCCCCTCCAAGGATCTGTGCTAACACAGTGTTTGTGTCACACTGTGGGCTGCAGTTGCTCCGCACTGGCCTTCCATCGGACTCTGGAAGCATTCCCATCTTGCTCTTGATTGAATGTGATTTGATCTTCTTGGGCTTCATGTTCCTATGTGGGTTTTAGAACAAGTTCATGAGTTCCATCAAAAATAGCCCAACACTGTTCTAGTTTGACCAGCACAGCAGGTAGAGAAAAAGCCACAGATTCAGAACAATGGAGCTTCAACTCCACGGATATCTTATAGACTTCCATTTTTGGAGGGTTTCTTTATAATCTCTCAAAGCTTTTATAACTTTTTGTGTAATGGTTCAATAAGTGAGAAGTTATGATGCTTCGAAATCACTTTTGATAATTTTACTCTTTATTGCTGTTGAATGATAATAGAATAAAATTTTCACCTACACATTTTGTCCATTCTGATAACCTGAAGAAATACTAGAATACTTAATTCCCCATTTTGCTGTCATTGTTCTTGTTTTCCTTTTCTTGCATTGATGCAGTTTATGATTTATGATGAAGCTGAATAGAAGGACCTGCCGCAGGCATTCTTAGCTAATTTCTGTTCTTTCTCCCCTACTCGCAGGGCCCCCTTTTACTTTTCTGGTTTCTGCCATTCCTCCAGTTTATATACTCACACCTGAATTGGAGCTAAGATTGACAAAACAATATGCCATGCTTTTTTGGAAAAATTCCAGTTAGATTTTGATTGGAGTGGTTTTAAACCAAACTTTGAATCCCAATAACTATTAGTTTGTCTTGTAAAACTGAAGTTTGTTTGCTTGTGAGATACAAACAAACAATCATCAGTTTTACAAGACAAATTAAGACATAGTCAATGTCTTTCTTTCCAAGACTCTCTTTGCCCTTCATTTTTTTCTATCTTTGGAACTTTTCAGGCCTGGAATGACAGAAAAATCCTCATAATTGTGTGTGTGTGTGTGTGTGTGTGTGTGTGTGTGTGTGTGTGTGTTCAAGTCAAATCCTTGGCACTACTAACCAAATTTCATTGTTGACCTTACTCTTTTAAGCCAAAACCCAAAGGAAGACCTCAGGAGAAGTCAGTCCTCACTAGTTGTCATGGTCACCATAGCTGGGAAGACTTCTGTGAGGAAGTGGCTTCTCCTGAGCTTCTTCCTTGTACTAGCTTGCTGATTTCTTACTGTTTGTAACTCTGACTTTTTATTTTGACAGGTCCGAGATGCATTTTATGCATGCAATTTTCCAAATTTTCAACAATGATCACCTTTGCAATTAAGTTTTAGCTCTGAAATATGGCATCAACTAGTATTAAAGGAAAACTATCTTGGTGGTACCTTTTTGCCCCTATTGAAGTTGTCCTTAACCTGCACTAACTGTGTTCCCTTGTAAGGCTCTTAGTTCCTTTGTCTATGGCAATACAGTGGCTTTCCCTGCCTGCTTTGTTCCCTTCACACTTTGCAGCTTGTGTTTATCCACAAGCCTTTTACCTTTTCTCATTTTCTGTGCTGCAACTTTTTCTGATAGACTCCATCCACTTTCTTAATGCCGGCTTCCCCGTCCCCCAGCCAGCATCAAATGGCTCAGCTATGACAAAAGCCAAACTTGCTTTAGGGCAACACTCTTTAGGGCAACACTCTAAGTTTGTAGACAGGCAGCCTGATGTCTCTCAAGTTCCAGTTGTTCAAAAATCAGTTCACATCAATTTGAATTAATGTTGCCTCTCAATTAGTTTTCTTCCATGCCCCATCTTCTGTAACACACTAATCCTGGAAGGACCCAGGTGTGAAATCTCAGGATGGTTCTTTCTGACTCCTCAAGACATGGTGAGGTCCTACTGCATTGTGACTCACCTTCACATGCCTCGCTTTCTCCTCTTCTGAGTCAGATGGGCATCACCTCCAGCCTGAGCACTACAAATGCTCCCATCCCTCCCTAACTGCCACCTGTGCTCTCATTCATCCCCCATGCTTCCCAGAATCCCAGAAGTAGTACATGAATGTGCTACTGCATTACTTCTCCCAATCTCTAAAATCCTGTCTCACCCTCTCCTGTCCTCCATTTGATCAGACTGCACATTTGGCAGGGTACGGCACATAGTCTGTGTGTGTGATAACTCTAGCCATTACTTCAATAATGGAATTGATGAATGACACATTTCTCAGAACATATCCCTGCCTGTAACAAGATACGATTATGTAAATCATACATATGATTTATGCCACTTGGCATTCATTTCTTGTTCTTGTCTAAAAATGCCTCGTATCTACAAGTGTGCTTCCCAATTGTGTTAGCCCTTCCCCGTAATCTCAAAGACAGAGAAGTTTATGCAGGTATTGGGCTGCGGATTCTAAAAGGTACAGATTTGAGTTTCTACATCCTGCATTTCATCATCCAAGTGATCTGGGCTCCAGAAAATAGTTTCTTCACTTGCCAAATGAGGAAAATTTATAATCGGCTTTGGGGCTTTGGGCTATTGTAGTGAAGATGTAAAGAACCTATGTGCATTTGTTAAAATAGTATGCAGCTCTCAGGAAACTCCATGGAGTATAATGCACCATTGCTACACCAAGGATGGCACTGTTCATGTCAATTCTATCCTACAATTTATAAGTCAGTTCCCTACCCCCCGCCAATTGTTGCCTCTAGCTCCACCATTACTACTGCCATTCACAGCCAAAAGCTACTTATAGCACCTGGAAATCTTGACTGTAGGCATCCAGAATGGGCGGTGATCATTCATTGCTCCCACACCACTTGCAAACATAAACCATATTATGTGATACTATTGCTAGGCTCACTCCAGATAGAGAATCTACAGAAAGAATATGACCGAAGCCAAATTTTATGAACCAGTTAGTTTATTCAGGTTTCTTACAAGAGTATGAGTGAGAACTTACTTACAGGAGCAGAAATGACTTAAGAGAGCTGCATCTCCAAAGCCTACTTGAGCCACATCTCAGGAAAGCTGGGACCCTGAAATGCACTGCACAATTTGAGGGCAGCTATAGGTGAAAGTGTGTCTTCCAGGGAGCTGGGCTCCTCCGAGCCTCTTCCAGGCAACGTAGATCATCTGAGAGTCTTTCCAATTTGGAGATGAAGGGATCTATAGAATCTGTTTTGTTTTTGTTTTTTTTTCTGAGACATAAAGAGGTGTCATAGTTATTTGCTTCAGGAGTTTTGAAGCAACTCCCTTGTAGCTCCCTTGTACAATGAAAATTATCAACTCAGGAAATCGCTATATAACCACGAAGTAGGGACAATTTTTTCATTATATATCTTCCCTCCAGTTTTCTGGTTAGCAGGGCTAAGGGAACTTCCTGAACACTCACTCACTGGAAGAAGATCCAGGAAAATGTTTCTACCTAGAAGAAAAATAGAGCCAAGGTTTGCAAACTATAATACACCAATTACACACACGCAGATGCAGCTTCTCCGAGTAGTTCCTGAACCTTTGAGGAAAATAACTGCTCTGTCTTCTTCGGCGAGGAGGTAATTTTCAGCTGTCACTGGACACCCTGTGAGGAATGACAAATACTTCTCTTCGGTCTCCATCCCTAGAAACTCTGATTAGGGTTAAGAAGGTACTTCGGATATTTAAAACTTGGTCGCATATAGAGCACTACTCTAATTTCTACAGTGTTTCATTTCTCTTTGCTGCCTCTGAACTTCATTCGGATGCTTGTGAAGTGTCCTCACCCCTTCAGTGATTATGTGTATGTTCCCTGCCAATGTGGTGTGAGTTTCATGTGTTTTGTATGGCCTTTGCAACATCTAGCTGTTTACCGTGCAAATAAAACATACTTTACATATTTATTGAATTCATGGATAAATGGAAATGCGTAAATGCTTTGTGAGCCTATGAAGGACCTCAGGGAGGATCTCGCTGCCCTCCTCCTTTGCATGCACTGTCAAGTATACCTGTGGCAGATCTCTTGGTTCTACTCAGCAGAGTGAAATCTAAGTAGATGTGCTGTTCACAGCCTTAGCCGTCTCATCAGTATCCCACCATGAAATGAACTTGACAAAAAATAGTCTTCGTTTAAAAATAGCACCCAGTTAACAGCACCCTCAGCCAGGGAACTCACATATTTTTATACACAAATTTAAAATCTAAAAGAAGACTAAGGAAAATGAAACCTTGTTTGTCTTCCCATACCGTGGTGGTACATCATTTGACATCATTTGACTTCTGAACCCATTTTCAAAACCTATAGTGGGGTAATGATAAAAATATTGGACTGGTTTCAAGTCAACTGTGGCATAAAT